GCCTGAACGACAACAAAAGGCAAAAATGGCACGGAACGTGTTAATCTTTTTAAATTAAATTTTTAAACTTAGGTTAATTTGCAGGAACTCAAATTTTCTCGGAAACGGAGAATGAAAAAGTTTTATTTCTTTTCTTTTCGACAGATGTTTACATGTGGAATCAGTCGGTTGACCACGAGTTGCGGGACACCCTGTATATATATATATGTATCGCACAGTGTCATTATTATACGTGTATATAGCGAACCGAGCGTACTTCGTGTCGAAGAAACGTGAAGGTCGTTCGACGTAGAAAATTTCGTAACTGAAATTCCGATCGGCCGAGTTCCGGTAGAAAACTTGATACAGTTCAACCTCACCGGTCGCCTTCTGTTATTTTTATCGACTGAAAGAAATAAACCGAAAGGTCGTCTATCGCGACCGGTTGCGCGAGTTCGACTACTGGAAGAAGCAGGAATGATTCGAAAGTTGGAAGATAGAGCTTCGAATTCGATTCGTCGGTTGGCTAGGGAACCAAGTTTTATCAATATCTCTTTCTTTTATTTTTATTTTTATTTTTATGATTATTCCTCGTTACAATTGTTAACAAAAGAAAAAAAGAAAAAGGTTTACCTGCAACAGAACGAGAGTTCAACGAAAATAATACTCCGAGTTTGTTCATTGGGGAAGCGTGATATTTGCAACATTGTGAATTCATTCCGATCTAATTTACCTTACGACGATCTAATTGATCTAATTGATACAGTACGACGTAATAGCTAGAGTGCTGAATTCATGCCGCGGGACGCCAACTCGAAGACGCAGCTTGACAGAAAAAGCGGAAGCTGCGTTCTTTGCCATCGAAACGTGGAACTTTTATTTACATTTCTACAATCACGCGGCACCGACGATTTACCACGGCAATTGGACGCGAAAGAATTTCCATCCGCGAGCATCGAAATTTCAGAAATAGTGACAACTGATTTTTCACTGGGTGTGACCGTTTCTTCCGCATTTCCACGTGCTCGTCACGTTCGATTCCAATGGCAAGTACTGGACTCGGTAGGCAGCCATGACAGCTTTACACTTATTACCGAAAGAAAGCTCAAGAACCATGATCGTTACCACCGTTCTATAATCTAAAAGTGAGAAACAGAATGAAAGAGAATGAAAAAGCAGTGGGAGAGTTTCGCGCCTTGAGTTTTCGACGTGAATTCCTTCGGTAATAAATGTAGATTGCCCACAACATACGGGTACAATACAGATGGAAACGCACGGAGAGACCACCCTGACAGAGGGACTAGACAGCCTAGTAGTAACCGAAGCTGATGTCGTGCAATGGCGGCGCGACACCCTGAGGCAGAGCGTAATCCCTGGCTAGTTGATCGAGGATGCCGCCGTTCTGGCTGCGAGGTTGCGGCTGGGAACGGTGTTCCTGGACGGGAGCGGGGCCAAATTGGGCTGGGCCCTGGTTGTACAATTGAGAGGGGGGTGCCGGCTCCTCGGGCTGGATGAGGGAGGTCTGTCTGAGGGTGGATTGAGGGGCAGCCGGCGTGAAAATCGGGGGCTTGGGGAGGCTTGCTGGCTGCTGCCTGGGCGCGTAGACAGCCTGAGTGTGAGTCTGGGGCTGTTGGTAGGCTGGCTGCTCGTACTGAAGCTGTTGAAGGGATGCTGGCCGAGCTGCGGCTGGCGCAGGCGCGGGTCTGGCAGCCGGTTGCGGGTAATCCTCTTGATAGTTCGCCGGCAGCGGCTCCTTGTTCGTCGTCTCGTCTACGAGAGTCGGTGGCGCGACCGTGATACCCTCGCCAGCCGGCTGGAAGCCGTACTGATTCGCGCCGTACTCGACCACACGCACCTTCCCAGTGTCGTCCACGAACCCGTATTTACCCTTCACCTCGCCGGTCGGTAGCTTCGTCTCGATCTTGAACGAGCCGTCCGCGCCCTCGAACCCGTACGTGTACGAGCCATCTTCGTTGTGCCTGTTGATCTGCTTGAGGATGGCCACCGGCGTTGGTTTCGGCGTGGCAGGGCCAGCTGATTGCCGACTCGGCGCAGAATCAGCGGCGTAACTCCGCGGAGTCGGATGGGCCGGTCTCGTGGGGGACTCGTACGCTGAATATTCGTCGACGTAGTTGACACCTGGTTGCTGGTATTGCTGGCCCGATACCGCCAGTATGGCAGCTAGCAATAACAGTACCTGAAGAAAGCAACGAGCTCGCGTTAAATTTGAAAAGAAGAAAGAAACTGAGAAAGACTCGTTAATTAGTAGAGTGATGTATGTAGAAAGGATTGATTTGGATCGATGATGGAGTGTGTGTTACAAAATTGTACTGAAGTATATGTACTAAATTATCGGCGTCATCGTTCTCAATCGATCGACGAGTGACCTACTACTTTCTGTTTTCGAGAATATAGTATATTTCATGGACACAGACACGTTGTTGCGTAATACACCGATTCGTCCATAACGCGTTTCAACGAATTGATGACTCGTTTGCAATGGGAACGATATGTTCCAATATTTTCACTTCTTCTTTCTCTTTCGCTTGCAGTTTGCGTTTCGGATAATTTACGATTGCCCAGTCGAAACGTGTCTAGCGTGTCGTGACCACCATAAATAGAATAGTCGTGCGGTCAGCATCGCGGAGCTGTTAATCCGGGACTTTATCAATCGTAATTGTTCGCAGAAAGGCCTGAACGCAGCGATGCATGACCCTCCGAGTCACCGAGAACCTTAACCGCCAGACGTGACTTTATTACACACCTTCGAGTAGATAACCGCACTCGAAGGATACCGGATCCTCGACGATACACCATCGGTGGCGAGAGTCTCGACAGCTGTTGCATTAGCGAACGAACGCGACGAATGAGCAAATAAAACGCGAGTGCTTTGTCCGTAAATTGCACATATATGTATATTTCTTTTCTGCCCGCGGAAGATGTACGGTCGCGATCGATTCGTAAATTACACACGCGACTCGAAAGTAACGCACTTCCTGCCTGCAGTTCTGCCTGAATGACCACGAACGAGAAATCGCTTGCCACGCGACATAATTCCCCGACTTGTTCCTGTTCCTTCGGCGTAACTCGTTATATAATTCTCTTTCTTCGAGCGAGTGGGCGGCTGCCTGTACAGCTCGCCTTTGTAATTTTTCGAGAGATATCTTCGTAAATAACACGGCTGCGAATATATAAAGCTTGTGTTTGCAGTTGTTAATTTTCAAACAAGGAATGATCCTTGGTCGAGTGAACCTTCGCGCGAGATCACGATCACGATCACGAGGCGAATCCCTCGATTTCCGCGCCATGTCGCAGAGGTCTGGATCGATCGATCGATCGCTCGGTGGTACTGACATTTGTCTCTTACGAAATAAACTCGCACGGCCGTGTCCGTGTTCTACAAACTATCTACATCGATCAAACTGACTGACGAATTCGGCGAATCGTCCACGTTCGCTCTAACGAACGGTATCGAGAGATCGGCAACGCACAAGACACAAGCACAGTTCCGTGAACGATGAAGAACAATCACATCACACGCGAGACTGAAATTTTGACGTCGACGAGATATCGGCAGAGAGAGAGAGAGAGAGAGAGAGAGAGAAAAA